GCATCCAGAGCTTACTGGGAGACAAGTGGGAGACAAGTGGGAGACAAGGGTGAAATCATGCGGCCAGGAACACAAGCCCGGAGACAAACTCAAAATCATCCGGCCCGAGCATGCACCCCTTTAAAAGGAGTAAGAACCCCTCACAGGTAAACCTGTTTGGGGAATAAAATTCAACAATTGCTCCAGAGATGAGGGCACAAAGAACGCGAAAGCAGAAGGACAAGAAAGATGCCATTGGGTCCTGCACAAGCTCAGAGGATAGGAAGGTTAAGGTGTTGCTGTAAGCAAGAAAAGTTCCGTCCTGCTTCTTATCTGCAAAGTCCGCCAAATGCCTAGGCTCAGTCATTTGTACATTCACAAGGAAGTCCATCTGCTTCCCAGTTGCCCAGAGCCTTGAGCATTACAGTAATACATTCAACACAGGCAAATGCCCCACCCTCCCACCATTAAACTCTCCCGTTTACATCAAAATGTGCACAAGTGCATTGCTGCTCCAAAGGATGAGGATATTTCCCCTGGTCTTTTCTGGCATCAGTAGCCTAGCTGCTTGGCTCATCCTTGGGTTCATTGCATGATTGCATGAAGCGTGTTCAACAACTGCCTTTTTACCATCCAGCTTCCGGGTGTGGAAAAACATCCCCTGATACTTCGCCATCCCAGTCGGCCTTACAATATGAAGCCACAATGTGCTCCCACCCTGAGATTGCGCAGTGGCGGAGCTACGCACAATCTCCCGGAAGCCATCCTGGCAGAAGGCTATTGACTAATAAGCCACAAGCGGAAACTTGTTCGGCAAAGGCAAGTTCTGGATGTTTTTCTCGTCCTCTATGACCGCGAAGAAGTCTGAGCAAATGTTCTCATCATCGTTTGTGGCCTTGGGACAACGATACCAACGTTCAACTATTGCCCTTTCGGTCACGCACCGCATAATGGTGTTCATATCCATTTTGATGCTTCGGCTGAGAGCCTAACATGCACCTCGAAGCCCAACTTCTCCAGCTCATCCTGCAAAAGTCAAGCTTATTGCTGATGGTCTTTTCCACTTGATGGTCTAACTTCTCAAAGCAAAAGAATGGATTTGGATTAAGTCCACATGGCCAATGGTCTTATAAATCATACCTTCGCAATACAATGTTACAAGGTCAATACCTGCACTTTGTCCTCTACCTCAAGAATGAAGAACGACCGGTTCCCACCTTGTCCCCCTGCATGCAAGCGAAGTGCATTTGGTAGTTTGGACGCCCCAAAAACCATTGGCCTGGCCGAGCGCCTCGAGCTATGACTGACATCTTACAATTGCACCCATTCCAGCTCAGCCGACTCAACAATTACAACCATTCGTCTCTACTACTTATCTTCTCGGTATCCACGAAACCTCAAGCACCAGAAAGACGGGCTTCAACCCTTGAAGTAACAGGTAACTTGGCTGCCAAGCAACATGCATGACGTGTAGCCCGGCTCTCCAGTCATTGTGTCCAAGGACATTGTCCACTCTATAAAGGTTGACTGGAGATCCTGCCTATTCGTCGCAAGTGTACAATGTGGCCCTGGCACAAAGTATCAAAACACCTCTAAGTCCAAGCAAGCAAGCAAGCAAGCAAGCAAGCAAGCAAGCAAGCAAGCAAGCACTAACTCAACACCTCTCACTCTCTTTGTGATCACCGAGCAAAATCAAACTAAACTGGCCTCTTGCTGCTGAGACAGAGACATCATGTTTTTGAAGGTCTTGTATAGTCTTTTGAAATTGTTGATGTCTATCTTGTCCATGCTCGAAAAGCAACAAAGCCCGTGCCTTCCAGGGGATAGACAAGAAAAGGACACGGCCCTTTACCCGGCTTGGTTTTAGCCAAAAAGGCGCACCTTGGATTCCACACTGGTTGAACCTTCGCTCTCCTTCCGGGCTTTGAATGGTTTGATTCTCAACTCCTTAGTTTCCTGCCATCTTTGTAGGGTACGACCAAGTCCCGTCCCTGTCAGCAATCCAGGCAGCGATGCAGCTGTTCACCCGAGCAAATATCTTCATCCAATCCAACTAGTTTTCTCTCACTCAAAAGTACAACAAACCCATTGCCGTTGCAAGCTCTATTTGGCCGCCTTCAGTTTGAGGCTGACCCAGCCAGTAGTTGGCCCATCGCCACAAACAAGGTCAAAGCAGAGTCGCTCACCTTTTAGCTCCTGTGGAACATACATTCTGATGATTCGGAATCAAAGATAGGTGGCATACCTTGCTTGTTCCAATGCTTCTTATCTGGACTCTCCGCCGCAAAATTGATAGAAAGTTCTCACATTCCCGCTCGATGGAAGTTTGAGAAATCCAGGGAACCTGTCTGTGTCAACGCTGCCAACCAATAAAACGGGGTCATTAAGTGTAAACACATCAACAGGGTTCCATGCTCCTTCAAGACTTTGGGGAAGTGCTTGGGGCCAAGCTGAAGCACAGCACCAAAACAATTGTTCCAAAGGGCTTGGGACAGCCTCTCCTTCTGGCGAATGATTGCACCAGTCGAGAGGCGCTGGGGCAGTTCTGCTGAACCAAGTTTCTCGCCTTTCAAAAGATCTAAGATACCGAGCAGTGCTGAAGATGTCGTTGATGCCTCCAACCTCTAGCTATGGCCTCCAATCTAGCAGCGATGGCCTCCAACCTACTAGAGATCGGTCAACCCTTTGGACCAGGGGCACTGGGCCTTCCCGTACCAGAATGCCCCCTCCAGTAGCACCGCCAACCACCTCAGTTGTCGCTAGCATTCTCGACCAGCCAAATTTTTCTCCAACTTTCAAACAATTGAAGCTGAAAAAAGCGTTAAGTTTCCCTAAAAATCTAGGAACCAACTCATTAGTGCGAGCGCTTCTTCAAGCAAGCTTCCTTGAAGAAGTTCGAGCTATCCTGCGTCCATACTAGTACCTTAAGTAGCTACTAGCGGCCTACCCCCAACTAGACGACGAGTGGCCCGAAAGCAGTTTTCGTCACGTGTGAAGTTAGAGTGTGAGTTGTGTGTTTAAGTAAGTGTTCAGGGTGAAGTGTTAAGTCTAGTGTGTTGAGGCAGTGTGTGGGTCTCTGTGTGTATCTGTGTCTCCGCGTCCTACAGGGTTGCGCGCACATGGGACAAATCGCACTCTCGCCTGCACTTCGAGCACTCGACACGCACGATCTCCGCAGAGGGTCACGCGCGCCAGTTCTCAGCTTCCAGTTCCACGGCTTGCTCCGCGTACTAAAGTTGTACTACAAAGTCGCCAGTTCTCATCTTCCAGCTCCCCACATACTCCGCGTACTAAAGTTGTACTACAAAGTCGCCAGTTCTCATCTTCCAGCTCCCCAGATGCTCCGCGTACTAAAGTTGCACTACCAAGTCGCCAGTTCTCATCTTCCAGCTCCCCAGATACTCCGCGTACTAAAGTTGTACTACCAAGTCGCCAGTTCTCGTCTTCCAGCTCCCCAGATGCTCTGCGTACTAAAGTTGTACTACAAAGTCGCCAGTTCTCATCTTCCAGCTCCCCAGATGCTCCGCGTACTAAAGTTGTACTACAAAGTCCCCAGTTCTCATCTTCCAGCTTCCCACATACTCCGCGTACTAAAGTTGTACTACCAAGTCGCCAGTTCTCATCTTCCAGCTCCCCAGATGCTTGGCGTACTAAAGTTGTACTACAAAGTCGCCAGTTCTCATCTTCCAGCTCCCCAGATACTCCGCGTACTAAAGTTGTACTACAAAGTCGCCAGTCCTCAGCTTCCAGCTCCACAGATTGCTCCGCATACTAAAGTTGTACTTGCAAGTCGCCGGTTCTCATCGTCCAGCTCCCCAGATACGCGCACGCATGCGACAAATCGCACTTTCGCCTGCACTTCGCGCACTCGACACACACGATCTCCGAAGAGGGTTGCGCCAGAACCGGACAAGTCGCACTCTCGCCTGCACTTTGCGCGTTCGACACGCACGATCTCCGCAGAGGGTTGCGCGGGCACCGGACAAATCGCACTCTCGCCTACACTTCGCGCGCTCGACATGCACGATCTCCGCAGAGGGTTGCGCGGGCACCGGACAAATCGCGCTCTCGCCTGCGTTTCGCGCAATCGACACGCACGATCTCCGCAGAGGGTTGCGCGCGCATGTGGCAAATCGCACTCTCGCCTGCGTTTCGCGCAATCGACACGCACGATCTCCGCAGAGGGTTGCGCACGCATGTGACAAATCGCACTCTCGCCTGCGTTTCGCGCAATCGACACGCACGATCTCCGCAGAGGGTTGCGCGCGCATGTGACAAATCGCACTCTCGCCTGCATTTCGCGCACTCGACAGGCACGATCTCCGCAGAGGGTCGCATTTTCGGTTGACGCTGTTCGTCCCACCGTCCGCCTTTAAACACAATTTGTAAAGTGGGGAATGTTTTTCATATTGGGATATCTCCCGTGAAAGTTTTCATACTCACACTTGCATACTTACACTGGGATACTCACTACTCTCACTTGCATACTTACACTGGGATGCTTACACTTGCATACTTGCACTTGGATGCTTTCACTCTTACACTGGGATACTTACACTTGCATACGTTCACTTGCAAACTTTCACTTGGATACTTATGTGCCATTGTAAGTATAGAAGTGTAAGTGTTCAAGTGTAAGTATAGCAGTGTACGTGTTCAAGTGATTGTCCGGAAGAACCCTTCGCAATGCTTTCGGGAAAAATATTCAAAAAAAAATAGAAGACTTGGATGCAAACCTCCCAGAGCTGTCCCATCAGACCAAGTCAGGGTCTGTAAGGTCCGTCTGCATGTTGAGAAGTCAGCACAGTGACACATTGAGGAGTCTACATCATTGACTTTCCCCAGCTCAGCAAGTTCATATGAGCATTGCGACTTGGTTCCTACTGTCTTGCTTGCAGCTCGCAGTTTCCATGTATGGATCTTCAAGTTGACTTGATCAAAAGCTAGCAAAGGGTTGAGCATTTGAATCAACAGTGAACAAGCTGCGGCAGCAGTCAATCAAAAAGGACCAGTGCAAAAATACATTCTTAGACTAAAGCCTGCCCAACAAGTCTTGCAAACAGAGTTGAAGCTTGAGTTCATTGCTAGTAATAGGAATAACAAGAGTACTGTAATATATAGTACATATATATATATACATATCAAACGAGTCTCAGTAAAATATGGCACAAGCACCGCCAAGTACTCAAGCCTGGAAAAAGGAATGTGACTATAATTGAATCAACAATGGAGTAAAGCCGGAGTGCACCCGCATACCAGTGCGCATCCAATCCATGAGTGTGTCCAAATGCTCCTGCTCAGTCACTCCATAGCACACTCTGCACCTTTACAAAGCATTGCCAGCAGTCTAGTGTTGTCCTCCATTTCGTGAGGAGCCGCATCAGCCTTCTCAGGCTGAGCCTTCACATAAACCTCCAAACGATTCCGCAAATGCTGGCGCTGCCACTTGAGCACTCTTTGAATCAAACCTGAATCATAGTTTTACTGCCTAATGTAACAGCAAAATGAAAAGGCTGCAAATCCCACGAAATCAAAAACATCACACCTTTAGACTTTCTGACCCACAGTAACCTGACCCACAGTAAAATGGGACCACGCCTGGCGGGCATTGCTAGCCGGAGCAAGCCGACTGGTCAAACCAAAGTTCAATGCAGACCTCTTGTGAGCGTTGGTCAAACACATCCCGCACAAATGAATACAACGTGTTTGCTTGCGAAGTTTAAACTTCATTGAAATTGAACCTCTCAATGAAAACCCCATCAAAACGGTCAAAGGCAAGGGCTTGTTGACGACTGTTGCCAGTACCTGTTTCAAATGCATACCACAAGCTGCTCAATCCAAAAAATGATGCATTGCAAGAACAACTCACTTGAGGCCCCAGCAGCAACTGCCAATGCGAAAACAAAGCCTCGAAAAAACCTCCGGGACCAAGCCCTGCCAGGACGCTGTTTCTCTTTTGCCTTCAGTAGCTCTAATCTTTCCCAACATAATACGCAATATACAATATATACATGATACATGTGGCACACTTGACTTGAGCAGTGTTTAGAGGCAAAACATAATTTTTACAAAGTCCGCCTGGAGGCATGCGGGTGAACACACGCCAACGCCATGGTGCTTCGAGCCACACAAAACTGCAAAGCCAAAACACAAAATCGCGTTTTAACTGACAGGTGCACCCGCAACAAAAACACGTAACAATTACAATGCCTGGTTGAGTTTGCCAAGTCCCTATACTTCACCGGCAGTCCTCATGCAATTCCTACAAAAAAGAATTGTTCAATGCCATAGAAACCCCACAAACAGTTTCAGAGTTGCAATTTGTTTCGTCGATCCAACTTAAAACATTTGTGAACACGCCTGGGTTTGATTGAAACTTGAAACAGTTTGGCGTAGGCGAACCCACCCACCCACACCTCAAGCCATGCGCCATCAAATAGTAAAGCATGGAACTTTGCCTCCGGTAGAATTGTTGGAACCACATGACCACATGATCAAATTCATGGAACTGCATTGTTCAAGCCCCGCCAAGGCACCTTTCTCTGAATGACTACGGAACCTGTCTTTTGTGTGCCCCTGGTGATGTGTGCGCCCAAATAACGGCATGCAAACTCTCATACTTGATTGGCAAGTTTAATTCGAATGACTCCCACAACAAAAGACCCACTTTGAAACATTTGGGAACACGCCTGAGTTTGGTTGAAATTCCAAACAGTTTGGCGCAGGCGAACCCACCCACCCACACCGCCAAGCCATGCTGAAACATGGACGTTTACCTCCTGTAGAATCATTGCGACTTAATGGAGGGATTGTTCAAGCCCCGTCAAAATACCGTTCAAAATTTCTGGTTCCGCCCTTCTCTGAACACATCAGCCGTTAGTGACTACAAAAAACAAGAATGGAACCCACGAACCCGAATGCAAACACGATCGAAAAACTAATATGTCCAAATGACACTCTTATAGGACACTCTTGTGGGACACTCTTCTGGGACACTCTTGTAGGACACTCTTGTAGGACACTCTTGTGGGTCACTCTTGTAGGACACTCTTGTGGGACACTCTTGTGGGACACTTTTGTGTGACACTCTTGTAGGAAACTCTTGTGGGGCACTTGTGGGACACTCTTGTGGGACACTCTTATAGGACACTCTTGTGGGATACTCTTGTGGGACACTCTTATAGGACACTCTTGTGGGACACTCTTGTAGGACACTCTTGTGGGACACTCTTATAGGACACTCTTGTAGAACACTCTTGTGGGTCACTTGCAGGACACTCTTGTGGGACACTCTTACACGACACTCTTGTAGGACACTCTTGTGGGACACTCTTGTAGGACACACTTGTAGAACACTCTTGTCGGAAACTCTTGTGGGACACTCTTGTGGGACACTCTTTTTGGGCACTCTTGTGGGACACTCTTGTGGGACACTCTTGTAGGACACTCTTGTAGGACACTCTTGTAGGACACTCTTGTGGGACACTCTGTGGGACACTCTTGTGGGACACTCTTGTAGGACACTCTTGTGGGACACTCTTGTGGGGCACTCTTTTGGGACACTCTTGTGGGACACTCTTGTAGGACACTCTTGTGGGATACTCCTGTAGGACACTCTTGAGGGACACTCTTGTGAGACACTCTAATGGGACACTCTTGTAGGAAACTCCTGTGGGACACTCTTGTAGGATACTCTTGTGGGACACTCTTGTGGGACACTCTTATAGGACACCCTTGTGGGACACTCTTGTGGGACACTCTTGTAGGACACTCTTGTAGGACACTCTTGTGGGTCACTCTTGCAGGAAACTCTTGTGGGACACTCTTGTGGGACACTCTGGTGGAACACTCTTGTGGGACACTCTTGTAGGACACTCTTGTGGGACACTCTTGTGGGACACTCTGTGGGACACTCTTGTGGGGCACTCTTGTAGGATACTCTTGTGGGACAGTCTTGTAGGACACTCTTGTGGGACACTCTTGTGGGACACTCTTGTGG